TCTGACTTCTGTTTCAAAGACTCGCTCTGGCTGCTTTGTCAAGAACAGGCTCTAGGGTATAATGACCAGAATCCAGGAAGTAAATTCTGAGACTGACATAACAGCCCAGGAGAGAGGTGGCAGCCGGGACCAGGAGAACGTGATGGAGCAAACAGGAGTGAGTTCAGGCCACTTTGAAGGGAGACTCAAGAGCATTTGCTGATGGATGGAACAGAGGGGGCCGAAGGCTTCTGTCCTTCAGAAGGACTGAAGACTGGTCCTTGGGGGGCATCTGGGAATGTGGATGATAGTTTTATCCCTAAAAGGACATAGAATTTTTTCCTAAACACAAGAATGACTCACTGTGCCTAAGCTGCTTCTGCAAACAATAGACATTATTCTAAACACTGGGTTTCCTTCTGGGAGCTGTGAACTTAGGAAATATGCCAGGCAAAGTGTGCCTACGTGACCAGACCCTTGTAAGACACCCCCKTGCCCCCCAGTAGGACTCCAGGAGAATGAACTGGCTTTCTGGACTTCACTCCATGCACCTGCACCCTTCAGGGATTTACTGTGTATCCGATGACGTAGTAAAGTATAACTGTGAAGAAGTGACCTCGGGATCCCTAGAGTCCTGGTGGGTCATCAATGTGGGACAGGCATGGAGACCTCCCAGCAGGAGGGCCAGGAGGACTTCCAGGAGAGTGCCAGGGGTGTTGACCTCAAGCCTCAGTTGTCTTAATCTACAGTTCCCGGCACTCCACCGCAGATCTCAAAAAAGCTGATTTGGAATTTCAAACCCTCTAAAATCTTCAACACTTTTTAAACAAAAATCTTCAAGAACTTTCCCTTCTTTCAGGGATAAAAATGGATCACGGATTTCAGTGGCACCCCAAGGCTGGCACTTCCTTCCATCCTGAGGCCCAGTGATGAATGATGTTAGTGGCAAAACCTTTGCTTCCTTTATTTTTTCTAGTCTTGGAAAAACTACTTGGTTTCTGTTAACCGGGGAACGAGGTACTACTTTTGMTTTGTAGACCTGTTTGATGGATATGGGAGTTTCTCAGTGAAACCTGAATGATTTAGCAGAGGTAAACTTCGATTTAAAAGAACAGCAGAGAGCACAGAATTATAGCAGGATGTACTACTGAGTCTCCTGGATGCCGAGCACAGACGGAGCACAGCATCAATACCAACACTCTCTCTCCACTCCTTTGGTTTTATTTTTAAACTTACTAAGTTCCCTCGTACCTCTCAGTGGTATCTTAGTAGGCAAGTGTTTTGGAAAACTGAGGCCACAGAGACCCTGTTGACAAAAAAAAAGCTGAATTGGGCCTTAATAACTTCATTGTTTGAAGACAGAAACAAACCTTGAGAGAAACTTTCTAGCAGCTCTTTACAAAAGACAAAAATAAAAAGCTCTTGCTGCAATGGGGGCATTTCACCTTAGCAGACAGTGATGAGTCAGGTTAATCACCTGATGGCTGAGGCTGCAGAACAGGTAGATATGACCGTGTTGAGGAAAAGTTCTGTCCACACTTGGATTCCTGAAACAGAGTCCCTGGAGGCCGATTCCTTGTGCTATGAAAGTTGATAATGACCCAGCTGTGCCCAGATGAGAATCCAGTGAGATCACGAAATGCACAGAGGGGTTGCCTCTATTTCCTTATTATTCATGAGTTAATACTACTATAGAGAATGGCTTTGGCAATCTTTTAGGTCTCTAAATAATGAGGCTGGTTCCTAGGGGGAACTCAGTATTTATTATTTTTAAAAAAACAGGTGTTCTCATCTCTGAGGGTTTTCTTTTTTAACCCATTTTATCAACTATTTTTCTTTCAATTAAGTGTATGCTTTAAAGATTATTTGCATTTTCTGGGTAAGATGAGTCAGAACTCCCTGAAAAATGCAGTGTCCAAAAGGTATTTGGAATGTTCTCTCCAATCAAAGGTAAATAACAGCAAAAATCCTAACTTTGAGCTTGTTTTTGCCCTATTTCTTTTTGTGTTCAGGTAGAAGGGGAAGGGTGCCCACCGATTTGATCTGATTTCACATAAACACGGATACACACTCGTGAGCACAGCCCCCATGTCAGAAAATGCAACGTAATGAGATTCATTCCATCAAAACACCCGTCTTATCTAAAGTGTAAAAATAATAAAAAGAATTGCTTGGAAACACTGCTCGTTCCTAGCTATTAAATGTGCTTAGCTTTGACTTCTGTCTTATAAGAGCTGAASACTATGGCAATTTTCCATAACAACACGCATCTCAGATGATTCACTGCTGAATTCAAATGTATATATTCCTTCCACCATAATGAAGGAATAAGAAGTCTGTCTCCCTGTCCAGAAATACTGATGAGCAGTGATAAAAGAGAAAAAAATAAATAAAATTATATATGTGTGTACATATGTGTGTCTGTGTWCTCTATTTTGGGACCCTACAGAGGAATACCACTTGCTAGAACTTGTAAAAAAGAGAGAGAATTTCTCTTTTGTTTATTCATAAATGAAGCAACTACAAACATAGTTTGATACAATTTCATGCAGTTTCTCTGAATTTAATTACCTTCTTATAAATACAGGAACCTAGTAGAGAATAGTAGCATCTGATTTCTTAAATTATTGAGCATAGATGCAATGCAGTGGAACTGGCTTGAAAGTGTCCCCTAAGAGTTTACAYCCACCTGGAACCTGTGAATATGACTATGTTAGGAGACAGGGTCACAGGATGAGCATGGGCTAAAGGACTGCTATCCTGATAAGGGAAGGGAAATCTGGACAGGAACACAGAGAAGAGGAGGCCAGGTGACGATGGGGGCAGCACACAGAGTGAAGCTATACCAGCAAAATAATGCCAAGGGTTCGGAAGCCACCAGAAGCCAGGGCAGATTCCCGGGACTGTCTCGGGGGGGCCTGCAGGTTGAGTCCCTTCCAGCTGACACCTGGATCCCAACTGCAGCCTCCAGGGTACGGGAGAGTGAACTCCTGTTTTTCACATCACCCAGTCCACCGTCATTTGTTACAACAGCCTTAGGAAACTAAACRGTCATTCCCATGGCCTCCAAATTGAATATATAAACTTTCACTGCCCACTTCTCTTCCATAAAATCAGAATAAGAGAAATCATTTATAAAAGTATCTCACAAACTTTAAGAACACAAAATATCCAATGCAACCAAGTTTCATTTACATGCCTACAGCATACTCCATACACCCTGCCATGGGCTAGGCCCAAAAGTAATACTTAATATCTACTCTTTTGACAATGCTTAATTATGAACAAATATTGAATGAGATGATAATTTTCATGTACTCTATCAAAATAATTGTGTGAATTCTCATAGGTGAGAGAAGAAGGTAACTGTATTTTGGAAAATATGAACAAACTATTAAACCCTAGAATCAGGTCAACAGCACCTAACACTTTTTGCAAAGAATAGCTGCTTCATAAATATTCAATAAATTAGTTAATTATTAATTAGAGACATATCAAGATTATTAATGCTTGTACCTTTGCAGTCTTAGTATTCACACTTTTAAATAACTGCATACCCAATTAATCTATAACAACATTAACTCAGAATTTTTTAATTCAATGTATTAAGTCCATATGTCCATGTGWTCATTTATTTGATGAATCTTTACAAAGTACTATCAATGGCAAGGAATTATGTTTTAAACATTGGACAAAACAGATATGGTCCTTGTCTTACTGGCGCTTCAACGGGAAAGCAAGATGGGTATTACACAAGGAATCACAGGAACGACTGACCACATTACAACAGAACAGGAGGCCAAGAGGAGGCTCACGCTCATCAGGGTCCAGAGGCCCTGGAAAGGATTACTTTCTTTTATTTGTTTTGTCTACTGGCACCTTACAATCATACATAATAGTGGGCTTCACTGTCACATATTCCTACATGCATGTAACACAATTTGCCAATTTCAATTCTTTAAGAAACTTGTATTTGAGATAGAAGGCTGAGTAAGAGGAATTTAACATTTGAAGAACATTAAAAACAAACAAACAAAAAAACAATATGCCAGAGTGGAGGCAGCCTGGTACACTRACCAGAAGAGACACTCCATGACCCAAGACTACAGAGGAAGCACCATGAAACCACACCAGGCTTGGTAGGTCTGAGAGAGGTGTAGAAACTCCAGTTTGCTGTGTTTTAAATATGGCAGTGTCAAAAAAAAAAAAAGCCCATTTTATCTCTTTCTATACTCCAACCCAAACTATAACATATTAAAAAAAAATACACAAGCCAACTCAGCAACAACAAAGGTATGTAGAGCCAAACAGCTGATGACCAAGAAGGGACTAATTTAACATATTCAGCAAAACCAAATCGAGGCCTTCAGCAGAAAAGCTGAGAGCTGGCCCAATTAATATTGCAGAATCCTCAAAGGCTCAGGAGCCAGTTTCGCCAGCTAACAGAAGCTCATAAAATAAGAACAGAGAAACTGTGTGGGAACAGTCAGACCCCAGAGAGTCTCCCTGAGCCCACTCTAAAAGACCAACACCCTGTCCTCGTCCTCTCCAAGGAGGACAGAAACATGTAAATTTTAAGCACAGTTTTTAAAAAGGGTTAAGAACTTGGTGATCCATTGCAGTTGGGATGTTCCAGGCCCTTCGTCTCTGCACGTGCCTCCAAGAAAATTGTACCATCTGGAGAAACATCATTGTCAATGGTTTTTCCCAAATAAATGCTAAAATTAATCTTGCTGTATTTTCCTTCTGTTTCTTTGGTAAGGGGCAAGAAGATGAAAATGAGATGTACATTATAGAGAAAAACAGTAACTTAAACAATTTTACCAGCACCTTATAATACAGGTATTTAAGAAGATTGTTCTAAAAATAGCAAAAGGAAACACACAATTTTAAACATTCTAAATGCAAACTGGTCGAGAAGGTTGCACTTTTAACAGTGGGAAAGGGTTTGAGCGTACAGCACTCCTTCAACAGTTTGCACTTGAAAGGAGGAGCTCAGCTGCTGAGAACCCACGGCTTACCTTGAACACTTCCATTGGAAGAGGAAACTCTGCAGCAACAATAAGGGATTTTTCCAGAGCACATTTCCACTCAGAGGTCATCTTCAAAGGATAGATTTCTGTATCAACAGCAAACCACAGAAGAGTTTAAGGACTGGAATGTTCTGCCCGGTGGCTCTTTCCTGAGTTTATCAGGCCCCAGCACCCTCAGTCTGCCACAAACCGCCACCTGCTAAAGGGATTTTCCAAAATTAAATAGCAATTGAGGATTCTGCTATCAGAGATGAAGAATAAACTCAATAGGGCTCTTCCTCGGGGAACATTTGTACGCATTTTGTGTGCATTTTGTGCGCATTCTGTAAGTAATTTAATAGCATTAATCACATTAGCCAAACCTTTAGTCATTCGTGGCCCCCAAATTCCATATATCGCCAAAGATGTACTAACCACAGATGAAGAACTTATTATCTGATAAATTTCTAAACTCTTGTCAGGCTTTTGCAGTTATTACAACATATTTTTCAGTAAATCTCTAAGCTCTCATATGCTAAAAATAGTCCCTATAAGTCAGAAAATTATTAAAAGGTAAATTAAAATTTACCAACCAAGTTTCATATTTACACTTGAAATGTTGCTAACACACCACATGTTGCCCATATTTTCTCCCCAGGCAGTGGGGGAGAGAAAGATTTACGCACAGAGGTTACACAGTCTGAATGCAAAATTAAAAGGAAAAAATTGTTGAGCACTGTTTTTACCTATTGCTGAAACTGCAGAGGGATTTTTATGGCCTGATCTCAACAGATTTAAGACCTTATCAAAACAGGATTTGTAGGCACACTCACTGGAAGTAGATATGTTTATACCTTCACTATATCAACTCAGCTACTCCAGACAGACAGTTAGGATACGAATATGAATTTAAGCACAGTTAAAAGGCAACATTAAACCTTTGGGCTATATTTTTAATTTCTTGCATGTCTGCTTTTTAGCAATGGAGCCATATATTTGAACCCTCRGAGCCTCTGGACTCACCTTGAGCTCTAAACTTCTCTGTTTGAGCAGTTTATTTAGTCTTTTCAGGACATAATTATAGAACTCGACAAGTTATCAATGCCCTGTCCCCTGCCATTGTTCATTACACAGAGACACACAAAGGGTGCTGCTCTAGGACAAAAAATCCTCTACTTGTTTGCACTGTCCATAATCCTTTCTAGMACTTCCTAAAGACTTCCACCTCTGGCAGAAAGAAAAAAAAAAATTCCCAATTCGGCATTTCTGTGTCAGAACAAAAAACAGATGTGACTCCTCTTAATAGTATCTAACATATTTAAAGACAGATAGTGGAGCCTCAGCAAATACGTGAGTGCAGAGACCAWAAGAACCATACCCCACTGGTGAGAGGGACACTGGGGGAGATACCTGTGGCTTCTCACAGAGTCCCACAGAGTATGCCAAGGGACCAGTCCACAGAGCTCTGTGAATTGCTCCCTGAGGATGAGGAGGAGAGCCTCAAACCAGGGGTGCAGCATCAAAACCTTGGTACAGGGGAGGCAACGCAGAGGACTGCAGGAAGCAAAGGCCAGAGGACACCACTCAGCCATTCCAAGAGGGTCAGGAGAGAAATAGCACACAAGACACCAGCACCCCTTCCTTGGGCAAATTCACTTTTCCTGCCATCTGCAAGTAGGGTGATGGGGAATTCAGTCCACACGTGGTAGAAAAAAGGACCAGTTTTGAAAAACAAGGGGAATTTCCAAAGTCAAGAGCAAAGAAAGTCTGAGAACACAGAGGATGAATAAAAGGAAAAGTTCGGTCTACCACATTGGCACCCTTCACTCTCTTGCTCTGTAATCCTGTCCAGTTATGCCCCTTGACTGTGATCTCTGAGTGGGGAAGGGTGCCCTGGACACAAGAGAAGGCAGAAGAGTGGTTAAAAAAAAAAAAAAAAAAAAAGACACAAGGCTAATATAAAGGAAAACCCACTATGACCTGGGTTAGGTCCACACTACCAGAACTTGGTGCCAAGATGCAGCAGACACCAGCAGCGCTGTCACGCCCCTCTAATGCCAATCTTGCAGACTGGCACTGGAGGTCTGGCTGGCCAAGTCATCCACTCAAAGCTGACTCCTCCACCATGGGATGCCACCACTGTCCCTCCACAGCAGAGACACATAGAACAAGCAGCCCCAAGCAGTTCCCAAGATCTGTGCCTCTGTTCTACCAGCTCATGATTCTCCAAATTCTAAGCGTATTAGTCCTGAAATGGAATCTAACTCTAAAACCAGGCATCCTTCCTCTCTCAAAGGTGACCCTCAGCTGCAGTTCTGCCCGTCTGCACAACACCTGCAGAGTCAGACACCTTGGAGAAGCAGGAAGCAGAGAACTACGGTCCCTGTGCGCGCTTCACAAGATAGAGCCACTCTGGTTACACCAGCAAGTTTATGGACAATAAATAACACCATTAAAAGAACATAAAACATTTTCTTAAAATGATCATGCTGCAGGTAATTTAATGGAGTGCAGCATCCCAGTTCTGTTTGTGGGGAAGTCGTAAGCAATTAAAATGTGTCCGCACTCATCTGTAACTAAAAGCCTACAGGAAAACGGGGTGGTCTCCTTTGGTGCGAGTGTTTGGCAAGTTTTTTCCTAGTAAGCACTGTAGGAAGCAGGAATGCACAACATAACCATGAATAAATAAATAACCACAAATAAACTGAGGCCTTGAGGAGGAGGCCCATCTTGCCCGGGCCCACCTCAACCCCTCTCTCTTCCTTTCTCCTCTACCAGGTGCTGCCAGAGAGGAATAACCACTATTCGGTTGGTAAGAGAAAGCACCCATTGGGAAATATTATAAACTGAGTATCTGTCCCCCCAAAACTTTATACGTAGAAACCCTAATCCCCAATGTGACAGTATTTGGAGAATGAGCCCTTGGAAGGTGCTTAGGGTTTGGGGAGGTCATGTGGAAAGGGCCCCCAAGATGCAGTGTCCTAATAAAAAGGGACAGCAGAGCTCACTCTCAATCTACTATGTGAGGACCCAGCCAGTACCTGGCCATCTGCAAGCCTGGAAGAGAGCTCTCACCAGCCTGACCCCATTGGCACCTGATCTTAGATTTAGAGCCTCCGGAACTATGAGAAAATAAATGTCTGCTGTTTAAGGTGCACAGCCTGTGATATTTTGTTACGGCAGCCGCAACAGACCCAACAGACCTGTACTGAAAGCAACAACTCATTTTGGACTAAGAAACAACTTAGGCAAAAAGCATTTAAGTTATAATCAGAAACATCCTGACTCTGGGAACTATTTAAAGCAAAAATTTTTTAAAAATTTTTAAAGAAAGTTTAGAGAAGGCCTTGGAAAAAAATAAATACACAGAAAATTTCTAGCTTCTGCAAGAACATCTAAAACTCTTATCTTGCTTTCTAAACATTCAGAAAGAGAAAGGAGGTAGGGGGCCACCTAAGGGAACCCCGAACTCAATGACCTACCAAAACTTTCTGGAAAACCAAACTTCTGATCACAACAGGTATCTCAGAAAATGCCACTCAATGGATGTGCCTTATACGATTCAGCAGCCCAGCAAATGAATAACCATCCCCTGTCCCAAGCACTAGAATGCTACTTCCCCTGACTCAGGCCAGATAAGGAAAGGCTCAATGACATATATCCTCAGAGGTGAACACAGTGTATAAAATCCAGTACTTGTTCCTACAGAGTCTAAGAGTAACTTCCCGTTATCTGTTTCTACCACCTCTATTTGTACTGAACAGTTGAGAAATATTGTGCCCTTTAAAAAGTAAAACTAGGGGGAGGAGTCAGGATTATTTTTAACAACAGCAGTGGCATTGAGGGGGAATGAGGGTCCCTTAGAGCAGAATTCAGCCAGCACGGCCTGCCCTCCAAGTAGGGCCAAGAGCCACCCACCTGCCCCTGCCAGCACCCTTCCAACTCTGATCCTAACTGCCAGTTGATGCTGGAAGCTTAACAGTGTTTGGGAGTAACAAAATTATTCTAATATTTCCTATGCAAATCTGCAAATTTTAATCCTACCTATATTAAGGAAGTAGTGCTACACGTGAGTTGTACAAGTCCCATTGGGACCTGAAATTAATTGACGTAAATCCAAAGCATCAGGTTCTGTTCCCATGTGTAAAACCTAGGTAATAATTGTSTCTCTTCCCAGGGGTGTCATTTTGCTGAATGAAGCAACAGAATCTGGTTTTCATCTTGTAACTACAGTACGTGAGGAACTTAAAGTCCTATTTGGAATGTCTTTTCACCTCTTATTTTCTTTCCCCCATAGGTAAGCTTTCTTGTTGACAATTTACGTATTGAGGAAACCTGCTTCTGATGACGACTATCTTTTTTAGACTTTAGGGACCCTAGTGATCCCGGCATGATATGAAATGGACAACTGGTGTCCAGAAAATTCTAAGACAAATAAGCAAAATTTAGTTTTATATCCTAAAGACATGAAATTACCTAAAGAGGGAGAGCTCAGGAGCAAGTATTTCCTAATTTTCTACAAGGACATTTTCCATTCTAGTTTAAGTGTGAGTTCCAGGATTTCACAGGGAAAAAGCATGACAGAACACCAGAAGCTACCAGAAATTCTTTGCTTTGCTGTACATTTTTACACAGCCAGGCCATCTTTCCTCTATAATTTATAAAGCAATTAGGTCCTGAGCTGGAGTTTACACACACGCCTTTCCCCCCAAAGGAGATTTTCCTCCCAGCCTGTGAATCCCAAGGCAACCTGAGCTCAGATCTTTGCTCAMGCTGTGGACAGGCCCTTCATCATCATACAAAATTACCCAGGATATAAAACTAGTTTTTGGCTGCYTCTCAAAACACTGAGGACAATACAAATATAATAAGATACTGGGTGAATGTCGACACACCTGACAGATTTAACACAGAGGCAAACACAAGGGGTCCAGAACCAGGAATCTGTTGGTTAAAGCCCTTGAGTGACAGAAGAGGTAAAACACAACTCCTTGCCTTCCGGTCTTCAAGGCAACACCAGCAACTGCTAGAGGATAACAGTTTCCTGGCGATTCTAATCAAGCCAAGAGCTAAGTARTTGCTTGGAATATGTAACACTGACCATAAGGAAGATCAGAAATACATATTTCTTCCTTGGGTATCTTTAATTGCACAATAAACCAACATTTTTATTCTGAGGTTTCCCATCAAAAGGTTGGGAAGACCAGTATGAGTCAGCAAGAGCATGAACTGGAATGAGCATAGAACCTGCTCCCTACAAGCTAGCAATCTTGGACAAGTTAACTCYGTCTCAATTTTCTCTGCTATGAAACTGATACTAAACATGCAATACTCTTTTGCAACCAAAATAAACAACACAGAAGATGTAAAATCACCTGGCCCAAAGTGAACACTCAAGAATGGTTATTTTTTAAATATTGAGATTTTTGATATAGTTAGATATGTCAGAAAGCATAATGCAAGATTCTATTCAATTAAGCCCATGAGATGTCATTTGACACTGYATTTAAAATTATCTAAAACTGATGATATGACAGGAAAATAGCATGATGATCCTCTTAATGCTATTTCCTGGTTGGAATGGATTGCATAATGATAAACAAGTAGTTTGGCTACTCAAACTGGGTGGATGRGTAGAAGGATGGATGGATGGATATGTATGAATAGACAGATGAGTTGATATGGATGGATGGATGATTAAAATAAAACCTAGGTAATAATTGTCTCTCTTCCCAGGGGTGTCATTTTGCTGAATGAAGCAACAGAATCTGGTTTTCATCTTGTAACTACCRTAACTACAAGGATGGACGGACAGATTGACGGATTTAGGAAGATGACAGATGATGTGGAACCTACTTAGTCTYATCAAAATCCTTAAAGAAGAGAGGGGAGCACATACTCAATCCCAATTCATTGCATCTTTCATTTCTGAACCAGTGACTCCAAAGGAACTAGATCAACTTCCCTAGGGCGTCCAACATTACTTTCTTCTTTGAAAAAAAGTGCTAAACCCAGCAACAAAATCCACAAACAAGTAGAAAACAACAGTTTGTCTTAGGTTTTCACTGACTTGAGGTTTTAGATTTTATTCCCTGTAGAAAAGCATTCTGAAGTTGACATATTTAAAATTCACATGCTCAGATGTAAAAGATAGCACAGATCTCATATAAACGTTCCAGAGACACATCCCAGAAAACATCACAACTTCTCCTACAGCACTTCACAGCAGCAAAAGCTTTGGCCCTTACCTGAAGGTGGGTCCATTCTGTATTTATTCTCTTGACACCAACCAACTGGTCGAAGTCTGTAATCCAAGTAAAACAACCACTGGTCATAGGATTCAGTGTCCTCCAATCCCACATAGCGAAGGCGTAATCTTCCTCCAACATTTTCAATCACACTAACTATCCAGTACTGAAAAGGGTTCTGAGAATCCTGAAGTTCTATTAAGGAATCAACTGTAATGAGGTCTATAGGGCCTTTCCCTCGCAGAGGCTGTTTAAACAGAAGCAAAACTCCTTATTTTAAACTTTATTTTAAAGTTCTCATGGAAACAGATGACAGCAGAAGATAATATTTTTTCACACCATCATCCAAGCTATTGGCAAACAATCTGGTGTTTCCCTCCACCCCCATCCTCTGCACAGCCCTCACCCCACCCCCTTCCCTTTCCTCCTCACACACATCCATGTACCCAGTGCTGTACCCAGCAACAAAATCCACAAACAAATAGAAAACAACAGTTTGTCTTAGGTTTTCACCAAACAAATCACCCTTCACAGATAAAATTGCATTCACAAAAAATTACTGTGCTTTTAAGAAGAGTTATACTCAAATTTGCCTGGAGCTAGAAAAAACATGGTAGCAAAATGTCTACTTTTCAAATAGACAGATGTACCTCATAGGGGTCTATAAATTTTCACCATGACTTCTCAACAGAGTTGTCTTAAAATGGCYACTACTCTTAGCAGACAAGACCCTCTCCCACTTTGCTTAGGTGAGTGAGTGCAGCACCACGWGCAGAGGTGATATATCTAATTCACGTGATGGCCAGCTTAGTGCAACCATTATGTACAGTTATTTCTACATTTAACCACTTAACCTGATAATTAGCATACATTAACATATGAAAAGGGTGTTTGTTCAGTCAGCCTCACAGGCAGATACCTTAAAAAAAATTCACATAGTAAGACAATTTGCCCCTTGGAAAGGGCGAACAATCATCATTTTGATTTGTTCACCAAACAATTAAAATAGCCATTAAGATAAACAAATACATCAGGCAAAMAGAGTCACAAAACAAAACCTGCTAACTGTGTAGCAGTTCTACCAGCTTTTTTTTTTTTTTTTTGAGAAGGTGGAACATTAGGGTTGAAATAATAATAATGGCACTGTCAAAATCCATATTTAATTCCCAGTCATTCATTAAGTTTTCCCCCTTCCAGGGGCACTCTTAAAGCACATTTGGTAATTCAATAATTACTTATGACACAAAATCTTTCTCTTGCTGTTTCTTTATACATGATAAATATTAATGTTTCATCATAAAATTCTTTTCAAATGAACCATAAAGATTTCAGTTTAAATGTTTTCTTCAGCACCTTGAAATTACCTTAACTATATTTAAATACAGTCAGCCTTTTCTCCTTTCTTCCAATGAGGGAAGCTAACTCCATTATTTGTTAACATGGGCGTTCTCATCTTGGGGTTACATGTCTGAAGTGGAATACTGGATGGAACCACTGCTCAGTGTGCCCCAAGAGATTACACGAGAGCACACACATGCTTAAGCATCACCTATTCAACTATTCATCACTCTTGTGATTTTATTGACTTTAACTAATAAAGGAGAAAGGCTCAAACTTATAGGATAATGAGGAGGTATCCTAACATAAAAATGCATTCACATAGAGCAAATTTTCCACTCACTGACTGTACCACAGGGWACAGATTAGTCAACACCATTCAAATCCATCACCTAAGTAATTCAGCACAATACAGGAAGTGGGGCWATATGCATAAAGATATCTGTGTCTACGCATGGATCTGCAGAAGGATATATGCAGAGGTGCCATTTGGTCTGAGCTCATGGGACTGGATGCTTCAGAGATATAAGAGATGTATAATAACAATACATACACCTTCCAGCAGGTTGGCAGGTGCTGTCCGCGAACCAGTCAAATCATGTATGAGGAATTCGGTCCAGTCTGCGTACTTCTCTTTGATTGCTGGTAAAACAAGGGAGAATAAAAAAAACACTTGAACACATCAGTAAAATATCAAGTAAACTTAAAATCAATGTAGTTTTCTGTATGTTGGTGTTATTTTGATATTCGTTATTTTGTTATTTTTTTCTTAATTTTAAGCATTATGCTTAAGCAAAAAGTACTACAGTTGAAATCACAGAGTCTATCAGTAAGTAGTGACCTACCCAGCACACAACTGGTCATCTAAAAGATAAAAGAACCTGAGGTGCTTAAGTCTTTCAAGCTTTTTAGAAATCTTAACTGACAACAAGATTCCAAGCAGAAAGAGGCCAACAAGAACTGGAGGAATTAGAGAAAATTACCATGGGAAAATAAAGCCAGGCCCTGAATTATGAAAAAGGTTGATGGGGTAGGATAAAAAGGGTTCTTTGGACTGAGAGGAAACWGCATATGCTAACAAGAGGGATAGAAATGAAACAGAAATGGAGAAAGAAAATACAGTTACTGGACCAACCACGGCACAGTCCAAGCCTGCAGGGCTGGGAAGCCAGTGGAATTGACAGCTGAGAAGTGACACTGACATCTGAGAAGCAGGACATCTCTAGAAATACCGTAAAGGTCTGAAAGGAAACAGAAGACTCTAAAAGCTGGGAAACTGAGGCTGCTGCTGTTATCTAAGTAGAAAAGTTACAGGATCCAAAACAGGGATGACAGCCTGTGAGCAAGGAAGGACTGCATTTGAGACATCTTTAAAAAAAAAAAAAAAAAAACTATCAAACCCTGGAGGCTGACATCCTATAAGTGCTTAGAACCCAAATGTACCCTCCCGATGACTCTTCCACAGTACAGGTCTCCAGAGGCTTGGGAACACCCTCAGCCTTCATAGGGCAAGCAGAAGGGAGAGCAACGTGGTTCCCTGGATTCCACTGACTCATACCAYGATACTGAACTTCCTGGGAGGAGGACATCGAGCCACAGGTGAGCTGCCTAGGATCCTCTCATTATTCAACTGAGCTTCTGGTAATGGTCCAGGGCTCAAGGAGCATTAGGTATGAGGTATCCCCCAAAAGCTCATGTGCAAAACAGTGCAAGAATATGCACAGGTGGGATGAYTAGATTATCAAGGGTGAGACCTGATTGGTGGAGTGATCCACTGATATGAATTAACTGGGTGGGGACTATAGGCAGGCAGGGTGTGGCGGGAGGAAGTAGGTACTGGGGTTGTACCCTTGGAGTTTTTAGTCTGTCCCAGGTGAGCGGAGGGTTGCCTTGTTGCCAGCTTCTTTCCTCCACCATGCCCTTCCACCATGATGTCCTGCTCACCTCAGGCCTACAGCTATGCAGTTGGCCCAYCATGGACTGAACCTCTGAAACTGTGAGACAAAATGAACTTTTCTTCCCTGYGTTGCTCTTGTGGTGTCTTTTGGCCACAGCAATACAAAGCTGACTAAAACAAGGTTTATGCATAGCCTAGGTCCTTCAAAGGCTTGATGAAACCTCTTCTAGCTCAAACCTACAGAAAGAGAGTTATTACAGAGGGTGGGGGTGCAGAGCTGGACTCCAAGGCAGGTTCTGCCAACACTGCATGTAGAACTTAGGGTAATTTCACTCCATTATTCTCATCAATAAATAGTGTTTATAGGCTGCTAAGAGGATTAAAGAAGAAACACACACAAACAAAATAAAACCATGCCCAGCAAACACTAAGCAATTAGTAAACATTTTATCTTGGTTTATTGTAAGTATGTATTAGATGATCACGTATTTCCACCATGTATTTATCACTCACTCCCATAATTCCCAATGGAAACCTTCCACAAGCTGAGGCAGGACTGTCATTAGAATGAGGCACAATGGCAGCACTAACATGCACCTCCATCAATATCTGCCCATCACCCAGGATGATCAGAGTCTGAGAGAGGCACCAACACAGAGGGTACTCCAGCAAACAAGGATGGAAAACAGAGCTTTACGTCACACAACAGTGTCCCACCCAGCCTCCACTTGTAAGAGYAATGGGTCCATTCATCCWTTTTTATCTCTAGGGTTTCTTTCCAAATAAAATACCACTGTCCTTATTTTAGACATACATACTGATATGGAAATAACTTTGGGGGCAAAAATATCACAACTTTATACTCTCTTCCATCAGTAGCAAATGTAGTAATCGTATTTCAATGTTATTCCCTTTTGATTGGGGGGAGCGTTGTTGTTGTTTTTTGAAGGGGAGCTACTAGGGATTGAACTAAGGGGTAACTCGACCACTGAGCCACATCCCCAGCCCTATTTTGTATTTTATTTAGAGACAGGGTCTCACTGTGTTGCTTAGTGCCTCACCATTGCTGAGGTTAGCTTTGAACTCGCAATCCTCCTGTCTCAGAGCTGCTGGGATTACAGGCATGGTTGGKATTTGTTATCCCCATTTAAATCCAGCCTTCTTGCATGACTAAGATTAAAACATCAAAAGCAAATAGGTACAAGATAAATTAATTAAAACTTACTTTATGCTTTACAAAGACCTTTCATTGACTTTATCTATTCTGACCCTGGTAACAAGGCTATGAGGTGGCTCTTCTTAACTAACTTGTAACCAAGTTCACAGAAAAATCTAGGGTCAGAGCCAGCCAAAAACCTCCAAGTATTTAGACCCTAATCTTACATGGAGTCTTTCCTCTAGAATTAATGACTCTCCAAAGTTTTTGCAAAAAGTTAAATCAACAAAATGTAGGTATGATGGTGATACCATGAAAACAACTGTCTACCCATAAAGTTTCAAGACTGGGGCAAAATATACAACTGTACCCGATACATATTCATTTCACATCTCATTAGAAAAGTACAGGTCAAGCAATAAGTGGTCCTACGCAGACAGAATTTACATCTACATTCTGTATGAGAAGATCAACTCACCTCTTAAGAGTTGTTCCCATATGCACACAATTCAAGTTAACATTTAAGTTAAAAATTTCTTAATATGCAAGCAGCAAAGACACGGTGCAATGCTAAAATTTAAATTGTGAGAGTCCCAGCAAGACAGCACTGGAGATGGTCTGAAATTTACATCTTTCAAGCCCTAAGTTCCAGAGGTCCCATAACTTCCCCTTAATATGTTTCACCATRAGACTCTGAAGCAATCTTTTATGTGCCGTGGAATATCTAGACAAATTGCTCTCCATGGAAAATGTATCTATAAAGCTATAAAAATACACGGACCGTTTTAGGTTAAAAAATAAAGATGAAACAATCCTCAGAAATTTTGCTAATGATGAAAGAAAACCTGCTTCAGTCAATTTTAGTTCTCAGAGCTCAATTTTCAAACGTACAACAAACCTACTAAAATAAATATTATCCTAAAATGAAAACTAACAAAGTTCTATTCACTTACATAAATAAAACGCTGTTTTATTTCACAAATACAACACATGAAAGAAACAATCATGACCTTGAAGTTGAGAAAAAGAAAACACATACATACACTTTTTGTGAGGATATTTGGAGATGGCTCCAAATTTCAAGACAACTTCATTGGGATTGGAAAGCTATATATACAGCCTTAAGGTTACTATCATTTTTCAGAACCTGAAAAAACATCACTAAGGTTGGACATCACCCCATCAAGCTAATGTCAACAGAGAGTCCAGTGATGTGTCACCTCTCAGTGATGTCCTCTTCTGCAGAGACTGTCTCATGGGTACGATGCCCATTCAAGCAGACCATGAACATGAGACCTGTGGGGGGTCAGGTGGRCCTACATCAGCCCAGGCTCCTCAACGCCATGCCCCAGTGAAACAGAGAAGCCCACCACAAACGTGCCTTTGTACTTATTCTGAAGACAGTAAGGAGAGTGACAATGAAGAGCAAAGCCACTTTCACTGGAACACACTTCAGGMAACAGGAAAGGGGCTGCAGTCCACCCATCTTCTGGARTTTAGACCYACAGGATTTTTCTTTTTGCTCTTCTCTCCAGGAGAGGTTCTCAACCTGCTTGACTACAGGCATCCCATGAAACTGGGTGATTTTCAACCCACCTGGGACTGGGGCTCCCCACTTCCTGCTATTCAAAGTCACAAGCTTCAAGAGATCCCAAAGTGCCCCCTAAGCTGCAGCTCCCAAATCCTACTGGGTGGCAACTGTCCTCCACCCCCACCAATAATTTTACAGTCACCAAGTCCTCATTAGCTTTTAAGCTGCCAGAAATACTGAAATTTCTGTTCTATGCTAGTCCCCCTTTGACTCTGTGGGTTGCTGGTCTTTGCATTTTTCATTCCTTTACTCTCATGAGGAAAAGGAGATAAATAAAAGTGCGCAGTTCATGGAGACTCCTGGTTTACAAGAGAACTGGATCCTACAAAGAGATGTCGGGCAGCAGCCTTTGGCTTGTCAGAAAAAAAAACTTTTTAACACTGACCAGCTAAAGAAAGAGGAGGCAATGGTAGACCCTGAATTATAAATGGAAGCAATTCCTCCTACTATGAAGAAGGCTGCAGACTTCCTATGGAGACTTTTAAAGAAAAATATGTATTAATTTTTCATATTGTGCTAAAATTAAATTGTTCCTACAAACAGAATAAAAGGCCATACAATTATTTGATAGGATTGATAAGTTCCTATTATGTGCAATGGACATTGTGTATGTTGGTGTTTAATATACTACAAGTATTCCTATCTTTAATAATAAGTGTAAGTCAGAAAAAGATACAATTCCTTAGAACTTAACATACACAGATTGTTGGAGGAAAAGTTTCAAATCRATGTGTTAAGACTCATTCAGTTTTATAAACACAGTTATATGATTACAAAAAGGAATAGTAGCATTTAGTTCTAAAAAATTTGAATTTAACAAAGAATCTGAGAATTGTTRGAAGCAAGAAATAAATCTCATAGTGATAACCCTGTGGTGAAAGAGGAAAAATAAATGGTATAAAGGTCTCAGAATAATTGCACAATTTGAATATTAATATTTATGCCATAATCATTAAAATTTTGATCCATATTTACACAGACCCTTAAAAAAAGTTTTG